CTCTCTCCCTCTCTCTCTTCCTCTCTCTCTTCCTCTCTCTCTTCCTCTCTCTCTTCCTCTCATACCATACTTTCAACTCTCTTGCTCTGTGAACCTGTTTCGTTTCTATCTGCTTACACAACCCATTGAACCCGGGTTCGGTTCCTGGGCCCGAAAGGTTTGAACACGCTTCATGACACCTGATATCTTCCTTCACCAAGGAGTAATAACTATAAGCACCCACGAGTCAGGCAACTGTTGTGTCTTGCATCCTGCCAAAGCTCAGTCGTAGACCTAGAACCTAGATAAACTTAACAATGGGGATTAATGTGAAAGGAAAATTATTTTCCCCTCTCTTTCCCCTCAACATCTTCCCCCTCCCCAAAAACCTCACATGATTTCTTGTTATTCTTACCTGAACAGTGATTCCCCAAGCTAGATTGATGTCCCTTCTCCCCAGCTTGAGGGGATCCAGCTGTTTCTTCCTCATCTCCACTCTGGCCTGTCAGAGATCCAGAAGATAAGATTAAGAACATCTTGGGGAATTTCTTAGAGAAATTCAGATTTAAAAACAGTAATATATGCGATCTGAAACTATTTGATGAAGTTGACCAGACCACACACGAGAAGTTGAAGGGACGACGACGTTTCGGTCCGTCCTGGACCATTCTCAAGTCGTCGTCCCTTCAACTTCTAGTGTGTGGTCTGGTCAACATACTTCAGCCACGTTATTGTGACTCGTCGCCTGCATATTTGATGAAGATCTGGACAATGTTCGACTGTTTATATCCACGCTAACAATTTTAACACCAGAGTAGACAAAAGATTATGTTTATATAACGCGTGACGTCATTCCAGTTTACGAAGGAGAAAGGCGATTGGACAGTAAACAAAGCGGAGGGGGAGATGGACTCGGGGAGGGAAGAGGGTTACCTTAGCAACGGCGTAGTCCACAGGGGAGATGGAGTCCGGGAAAGTATTATTCGCAAGTCTGTCCTGTAAGCGCTGGTTCAGAAGGCGCTTAAGCTTATCTTGTGCCTGTAAAGTGAGACATATTTGGTTACATAACAACATTCTATAAGTAAGCCAGAAGTACATCACTAATACAAAAAAATAAAATAAAAAAAATACACACACACAAGGATTGTTAATCCTTGTTAACATAATCAATGGTTACAAGATGATTGGAGAAGATTAAGAGGAAGAACAATTAAATATAGAACAAGAACAAAATACATCAAGATATAATACAAATTACCCCGTCACTCAAGGGGGGGGGGGACACAAATAAATTACCCCCTAAAACAAAAAAAATCACTGTGACGGAATTCATGGAGGAATGACTTAGTGGGGGTTGACGTGTTGGCAGGGAGGAACGGAAAGTGGAATCCAAGCGTGTTTCTGTGCCGGGGGGAGGGAGCTTAACCCCATTAACATTCCCCTTGTGGGCTTGAGAGAGAGGGAATTATAATGCCCGCCTCACGCAGAAGGGGAAAGACTGGTGGTGGTGGTGTCCCCTTACCTCCTCTTAGCCCCTGGAAAGAGGTATGGAGGTGGGAGAAGGGGGGTGGAATTCTCATTCACTCATAAATCTCATTCACTCATAAATCTCATTCACCCATAAATCTCACTCCTAACAAGGCCATGTAGTTAAAACACCTCCAGAACCAAACACTAGAGCTAAATAAAACAGCACAAAAGTGTGTGTGTGTGTGTGTGTGCTTTTTAAATGGAAATTACAAATATATAAAAGCAGAGTGAGGCAAGGGGACACCTTTTGTGGCTCCTCCCCTCCTCCCCCCCTTCCTCCTCCACTGCCAGGCCTCTCAAGTGCTCCTGATGTACACAGCAAAAGCTCTGAATAAACAACAAATGCTAATCACCAAATTGCCAGGAATTTAGGGTTCATAAATCCGAAATGTTTGTAAAATCTAGTTGTTTCTTGCAACATATTTTGAAGGAGAGATTCTTCTGTGTTTTCATGAATTTGAGTTCTCTCTTTTGATATCAAAAGTATATCAGAATTTTTGTTATCAAATGCTGGATAAGTGAGACTGGATAAATGATCACTTATTCGACTCTGCAAGGCTGGATACCAAAAAACATATTTGCTATCCAGTATTGTGGATATTTTATATCCAATATCTTTTATATTTTAGTGAGGAAAAAGTCATGTTCAGACGAATTTGGATAAAATCTCTATATACCTCAAAATGACTTCTTTGAAGATGATTATATGTTATACCAATGGGGAGCTTGGATTAACCCCCTTGAAACCCTATATTTAAGGGGGATGGGTAAATATACTCGATCCCCTTAATTCCAAAGTTAAGGAGACCCATTAATAACATGATGATAAATATAGCAAATAACCCTTTATTGCACGTTAAAAAAAACGACTCATTTCCCAGCAATGAGTCGCTCCTCTGGATAAATACGGATGAATACTCACATTACCGATGATGAGAGGTTGGATGATGGTGCTGAAGAAGACATCAGCAGTGCTCACCAGGATAGAGTGTTGAGTAGTCAGGTTCTCGAAGTCCAGATACAGGTTGTCGTACGTCAGCGTTATCTGTAGGCACGTGGGCGTCGTCAGCAGTGATTGGGTTTGGGGGGGGATTGGGGTTGGGGAAGCGTCGTCAGCAGTGATTGGGGGGCGTTGAAGAGAGCCTGGGAACTTTATCAGTTTCACTTAGATTTATTTTACTTGCGACTATCACCATTACTCACCATCACTCACCATCACCACAACTAAAGCACAACACAAATTATAATCTCCAGGGGTCACTATCTTCCCCGCTCCAATATTCTTCCACGTCACTATCTTCCCCCCCCCCACAACATCATCAATCACCACAATCACTATACACTCACCACACAATCACCTACCTTGAGAGTCTCCACCATGAGGACTCCAGAGTCACTGACACTCAGCATCATGTCGAGGAGGACCTCGATGCCTGTCATGGTGATATTAGCGCCTCCTTCACTAGTGGACCACCAGCCTGGCCAGCTGTACTGCCCTTGGACATTGATCGCTGGCAGACTGATTCTTACCCTAGCCCCCTGCAGAACGAGGGAGAGAGAGAGAGAGGAGAGATAGAGAGAGAGAGAGAAGATGAGAGAGAGAGAGAGAGAGAGAGGAAAGAGGTACAGGGATAGAGAGGCAGGAAGAGTAAGGAAGAGTGATTAAGGGAGAGAGTGGGGGTGGGGGGGAGAGAGAGAGAGGAGAGAGAGATAGAGAAGAGAAGAGAGAGAAGAGAGATAGAGAGCCGAGAGGAAAGAGGTACAGGGAGATAGAGAGGCAGTAAGAGTAGGAAGAGTATTAAGGGAGAGAGAGAGAGAGAGAGAGAGAGAGAGAGAGAGAGAGAGAGAGAGATAGGAGAGAGAGAGAGAGTAGAAGAGAGAGAGAGATTAAAGATTAATGACAATAATATAAATACCTTCCACTCTTATCTGTATCTTAGATATCATATTTTTCTCCGTTATACACACAGGGTTAAGATACTCAGTATTAAAACTGATTATACATTAATACTAACATTAAAACATGTATACATATTTGTAAAAATACACCTAAAAACATAAAACAAAAATACTTTAGTTGTAAACAAGGAATATTTACCTGTTTACAGTATGGAACAGTAAAATTGTTACTATTCCATACTGATTTTTAAATAAAATATTAGTAACAAAAACCAGTTTATACTATTTCGACAATTTCAATATTTTGTAAATTAATTCCTAATAAATGAGTCTATTAAATTAGAATAAATGATCCCTCTCATTGCTACAGAAAAACATAAGTTCTAGCGTGAAAATTTCTTGATTAAACTACGAAAAAACTCAAGATTAATCACTTTCAAATACTTTCTAAACACGTAAAAAACACATTGGGAGACTGGGAAGCTTCTAAGACTTTCTTGAAAGCTAAGAACGTTTATCTATGCCAGTGCTATCTAGCCAGAGATCAGCTGGGTCAAGATTACCCAATCAGAGACCAGCTGGGCCAAGATTACCCAATCAGAGACCAGCTGGGCCAAGATTACCCAATCAGAGACCAGCTGGGCCAAGATTACCCAATCAGAGACCAGCTGGGCCAAGATTACCCAATCAGAGACCAGCTGGGCCAAGATTACCCAATCAGAGACCAGCTGGGCCAAGATTACCCAATCAGAGACCAGCTGGACCAAGATTACCTGAAAATGGCAAAATCCACTTCATCTACAATGGTTCCTACCCCTCTTCCTACCCTCCCCTCCCCCCCCATGCGAGTTTGTTTACAAACCGTATATAGCGTTGCAAGGGGGACTGCAACCTCTCTGCAATCTGTGCTGCAAGCAAATGTTGCAAAGGAGGAAAAGATCGAGGAAATGCTGCTGCGAATGTGTAATGGATTTAAAACACATGGGACTCCGAATTTCGCATTTTCTTCATTTCGAAATAATTTACTAGGACGAGGGGGGAAGTAGAGAGACAATATTAAGGTGTCACAGAAAATTTTGAGGTGACGAAATGTTCCGTCCAGAAAAAAAAAATATTAATTGAACGGCACAACAAAACATAATATACGAGTTAGAAAAACAAATGATTATTGCCACAATACGTCCAAATATATATTTTACTTACAAAGTAATGAAGGAACATAATTCTGTGTTGTGACTTGGAGAAGGAGGAAATCCAGCCTATCCCTGTGTGCATTTAGCTCGCTAAAGAGCAAGACAAAAATGCAACCCTCGCTCAATAACGATAAAAATGGGAACTAATCTCTTAGTAATAATAATAATTTGCAATTTTTGGTTATCAGACTCGCTCAATGAATGGTGAAGATACGGCATACCTACCGAAGGTTCGTTGGGAAGGTGAGGGAGGGAGGGAAGGTTTAACGAAATGGTGGTATCGAAAGACTTAACGAGGTGACAGTAACTGGAGCGAGAAAGTAGCAAGTTTAACGAAGCATGATTAGTGGTGATTGGGCTTAATTATCGAGAGCAGCAGCGAATATGAAGTATTATCCTCCCAAGAGGATCTCACACAGAATGGCTTAAAAACTACCTTTATTAAGTCTTATTAACTAGTCTTATTAACTATGGCTTCAAAGTGACGTACCGAGAAGCTAGTGAGGTTGATGTTGATGTACTCGAGACGTAGGCCAGAGTGACCTGATATCTTCAGGTCCCAGAGGGTTATCTGGGATGCTGCTATCCTGTCTGGCATCTCGATGGGCTCAGGAACCTTCAATACTAAGACAGGATTCAAATTGGTTGTTAGATCAATAATCACAGACCTTTGACAACTTTTTTTTTTTAAGCTATTTTGCAGATGTCAATTTTTTTTGTTATATTTGGTTTGTGATGTTTGTTTTATTTTAATTATTTTGTTTTTAATTTTAGTTATTTAGGGGTTTAATTTTATCTGTTTGGTTTTCAATTGTAATTATTTGGTTTTGAATTTTATTTTTTTTTCTGCTTAGTTTCCATTATTTTGGTTTTAATTTAAATTTTATAGTTTTTAATTTTAATTCGTTTTTGATTTACCTTATCTGCACCTGACTTGTTGCTTTACTCACCTGGGATACCATGTGGATCCCGCTGTGAGAAATACTCCACTACTTCCCTCACAATCCTCTCTGGGGTGAGGGGCTCCTGCCCTTTCCAGGCTGCCAGGGAGAGGTTGGACAGAGACATCAAATTTTATTATTCTCAGGCTTGGGAAAAAATGTTCTTTGACACAACTCCGCCACACGGGGTAAGATTACAAGTTTGAGAAGCAGGTTAAAATGGCCAGGGAAGAAGGAGGGGGGGAGGGGGGCGGAGGGGGGGGGGAATTGCTTAATTGAGTAACAATGATCCTTAGTAACAGAAGGCTGAGAGGTGCAGTAAAGGAAGAATCACTGGGAGACTTACCAGCAAGGTATCACTGGTTCAAGAATCTGTGCACTAGTTGATTGACGGTTGAGAGGCGGGACCAAAGAGCCAAAGCTCAACTCCCGCAAGCACAACTAGGTGAGTACTGGGGGGACTCTTCTAGGACTCATCCTGCATCTAATTTACAAACACAATCTCCCAAAGAGGATTGAACTTTATTGTTTTCGATATTTACTAATCAAGTGATTGCAAGAAACTGAAGGAAGACTTGAATCACACTACAAGAACAGTCTTACTGGTGGTTGACATAGTCCCTAAGGAGTGACACTTAAGAGCCGACCCGCCAAACACACACCGAAACTACGACGTTGGTACAACGTTCGAACTAGTTTTAACACCACCTAACCAGTTATAACAACCAGTATAGCAGGTTGTAACAACGTTCTAATACGTCATAAACACGTTAAGCCAAGATATAACAACTTTATTTCAAGTTGTAACAAGCGGAAAATAGAGACAGTTTCGGTTTGTGTTTCCAGGGGAGACACCTCGTAGCCTACTTGAGGTAGTTGGATTGTTTCAAGGGAAAGGTTAGACGTGTAGGGTGATGAGTTGGGTTAGGTGTAAACAGGGGTCTCGTAAGGGGTTAATTGGCCTGCCTTATTCTTAGGTTTAAGTGAGTTATTAGAATATGCTGAATGAACAAACCCTCAGTAGAGTAGTAGCAATTATAGAAGATATAAAAATACTCTAGGGAATTTAGAAGGTAACTGGACATGTTATTTGACCTGAAGAGACATGGAGGAGGAGTTAGAGATCTCAACTAAGTACCAGGGGACAGATTCACGAAGCAGATGTGTAGCCTTCTGGGCCAGATTCACGAAACACTTACGCAAGCACTTACGAACCTGGGGCCAGAAACACTTACACGAAGGACAGATACGCAGCACTTACGAACCTGTACATCTTTTCTCAATCTTTGGCGGCTTTGTTTACAATTATTTAACAGTTAATGAGCTCCGAAGCACCAGGAGGCTGTTTATAACAATAACAACAGTTGATTGGGAAGTTTTCATGATTGTAAACTGTTTAATAAATGTAACCAAAGCCGTCAAAGATTGAGGAAAGATGTACACGTTCGTAAGTGCTGACGTAACTGCTTCGTGAATCTGGCCCCAGGTTCGTAAGTGCTTGCGTAACTGCTTCGGATCGGCCCCCAAGTTTGTATCTTGCGGCCCCCAGTGCTTGCGTAAGTGTTTGTAAGTGCTTGCGTAACTGCTTCGTGAATCTGGCCCCAGGTTCGTAAGTGCTTGCGTAATGTTTCGTGAATCTGGCCCAAGGTTCGTAAGTGCTGGCGTAACTGCTTTCGTGAATCTGGCCCAGAAGGCTAAACATGTCGAGTCGTCTTTAGAGTTGAGACCGAAAACTCAAATTTTCTCCGCATGCACAGCTCGATGAGCACACACGACACACAAGACAGGCTCAGGAACCTGTACATTAGTTGATTGACAGTTCAGAGGCGGGACCAAAGAGCCAGAGCTCAATCCCCGCAAGCACAACTAGGTAAGTACAACTGGGTAAGTACACACAGTGTTCAACGCTGGTGGGACGCGAACAAGGGGACACAGGTGGAAGCTGAGTACCCACATGAGCCACAGAGACGTTAGAATGAACTTTTTTCAGTGTCAGAGTAGTTAACAGATGGAATACATTAGGCAGTGATGTGGTGGAGGCAGACTCCATACACAGTTTCAAATGTAGATATGATAGAGCCCAGTAGGCTCAGGAACCTGTACACCAGTTGATTGACAGTTGAGAGGTGGGACCAAAGAGTCAGAGCTCAACCCCCTCAAACACAACTAGATAAGTAGAACTGGGTAAATACACACACAAGCACACAAGGAGGAATAGGACAAACATGATAACGAAACATAATCTCTAAGGGGGATTGGCGAAGCAGATATTTAAGCAGTATTAAAGTTAAGGAAAACAGAAGAACGAGAGGACCGTAATTGGAAACTGGAAACACAGATATGAGCTTTAAATGTAAATATGATAATTGAAACGAGTGAAAAAGAGCCACTGTAATGAACTAATGATGCTGGGACTTGAGAGCAGATGTTCAACCCTGCAAGCACCACAATTAGGTGAGTACACACACACACGCAAAGAGGTGATATGATCACTACATACAAAATAGTAACAGGAATTGATAAAATCGATAGGGAAGATTTCCTGAGACCTGGAACTTTAAGAACAAGAGGTCATAGATTTAAACTAGCTAAACACAGATGCCGAAGAAATATAAGAAAATTCACTTTCGCAAACAGAGTGGTAGACGGTTGGAACAAGTTAGGTGAGAAGGTGGTGGAGGCCAAGACCGTCAGTAGTTTCAAAGCGTTATATGACAAAGAGTGCTGGGAAGACGGGACACCACGAGCGTAGCTCTCATCCTGTAACTACACTTAGGTAATTACACACACACACACACACACACACACACACACACACACACACACACACACACACACACACACACACACTCACACACACACACACACTCCCACACACACTCCCACACACACACACACACACTCACACACACACTCACACACACTCACACACACCAAACCCACATTAATCCATCCAAAACAAAATAGACTTACCTTCAATATCAATAGCGCCATGAACACTACCCACCACCACCACAACTACCACCCCTACCACAATCCAACCCTGTGCACACCTGCGTCGTACCATGACTAACAATCACCACCCCCACACACTACACACCACACACACACACACCAGACTGACAAGAACCTCCACACAGATGACCTACTCTTGACATAATCTACAGGTTCCAGTAAGCAATTTAGCAATTAAAACCATTAACGATAGTTATTCACACGGGGCAACACGGCTTCTTCCAGACCAAAAAGCATTCAGAAATCCTAACAATTGTCTTTTAAGCAATTGGAATATAATCCCAGAACTGGGGGAGGATTTATGTTTAGATGTAAGTTAATCCCAAATGGGATTTTTGGTTACTGTCTGCTCTAATCAGCTGATATTGTAATCTGCTGACCAACAACCGATAAGATCAGAGATAGTGAAGAAGGAAGTGAAGAGGGGTGGTGGGGAGGGAGGAGGTCATGGGGTGGAGGGTAGATAGTGAGGGTGTAGAGAGGTAAGAATGGGTAGGGGGGGTTTATGGGGAAGAAAATTTAAAGGAAAGGCAAGGAGACGTTCTGAGGGTAGGGTGAAGAGTAAGGGAGGGTGAGGGAGGGAGGGTGAAGGGGGGGGATGTGATCTGGGAAGGGGGGGGGGGTGGGACAAGGACGGAGGAATGGGTGTCAAGAGGACACCACTGATAACATAGAGGCAGTGGCTGCCTCTCTCTCCACCACCCCACTCCAACTAATTCAACTATCAACTTAGTCAAGTTTCTCCAGCAAAAGTATCTTAACTCATCTCCCGCAATTCCTCAAGGTCAATTCACTAATGATTTTATATACAGCTTACTCTCACCCAATTTGAAAGACAAGTTCGATAGCAAGTTATCCAACAATTTAACAAAAAATAGTTACAATAATTTTAATATTATTTTTCGAATATTTCTTGACAAAAATATCATCAGTATCGACTAATAGGACTCGTATTGATTATCTGATCTTCCTATGTTATTCTAAGTACACCAACTTGATCAACAGCTTCCCTACCCTGGAAACACAAACCGAAACTGCCTCTATGTTTTTCCGCATGTTACAACTTGAAATAAAGTTGACATCTTGGCTTAACGGTTTATGACGTATTAGAACGTTGTTACAACTGGCTATATTGGTTGTTATAACTTAGAAGTGTTAAAACTTGCTCGAACGTTGTACCAACGTCGTAGTTTCGGTGTGTGTTTGGTGGGTAGCGGCCTGAAAAGGAATTTAACTTATCAATTTGACCACCAACTTGAGGGAAAAAAATGTAGATGATATCGTTAAAAACCTATTTCCAACGATCTGGCATCTTGGGGGGGGGGTAATATTCGCTCCACTCAAAGTCACCAATAATTTAATTTCATAAAACAAACGCAGAAACTTCAAGTTTCAGCAGCAGTTTTTGTAATTTGAAAGCAGTGTCAGACTGTACTAAAAACGTATTGTGTATTTTGGAAAATTTCATCTTCCTGTATTTCCGTTAAAAACTTTGATTCCAGTTTTAATTTCCACCCATCGGCTTATGACGTTATTTTCAATCTATTTTCATAGATTATCAGTTTCAATCTGCCGTCATGTAATCAATTTTACATCCTTTGTTGAACATTATCAATTAATTTTTCGTAAAAGTTTATTATTCAATATTTATATAGTGTCACATTGCGAATGGCAATCCATCATTCCATATCTTCAACCTGAACCCATTGCTATTTATCCAATTCAATCATTCGTGATAGAATTGTCAAGCCATCAAATCCGTAGACACAAGTTTCAATCAATTGTTAAATATAATTATATAATTTGATAATCCTTATATTATAATTTTCATTCAAGTGGCATATATCACAATTTGTAGTCCATCATCACATCAATTTATACCCATCGCCACATGCGGGAACATCCTCTATCAATCAATTCTTCATCTCAAACCAAGAATTTAAATTCAAAGTCCCAGATAATTTTGAATTCCAGCCATATACCATTACAACTTTCGGCGATGTATATGATAGCAGGTGTGTGACTATGTCATATATGCACGCAATAACCACCACACACACACACACACACACACACACACACACACACACACACACACACACACACACACACACACACACACACACACACACATACACACACACCTACACACAACGTTTGGTGTTTGTAAAGATAAGGGCTAGAGATAAGATAATCATGGTCTCTTTAAGTACCACTGTGGCAATGAACTAACTGCTGAATTGGAATATTTGCTGTGGTGGTATCGTTGTACCGTGTCGTAATGTGATAGTGTGGTGTCGTGGCACTCTGATACGGTGGTAATGCTGTACTCCAATATGACTGCCTGGTATTACAGTAATCTGGTACTCCGATATGGTTGTATGATACCACAAAACTCTAGTGTTCGAATATGACTGGTATTGCGGTAGTCGAGCAAGTGATCCCACGAACATATTGGTACAGCACTGTGTACTATTTTGTAGCTCAGTTTTCCAAATCTATTGAAGCCATGATTTAAGTCGCACAGGATAGCTGTGGTTTCTCTGTTGTACATTACATTTCCACAGCTATATTGAAGAGAATTGCTCTTCTCTCTCTCTCTCTCTCTCTCTCTCTCTCTCTCTCTCTCTCTCTCTCTCTCTCTCTCTCTCTCTCTCTCTCTCTCTCTCTCTCTCTTCATCGTTACTTCTCTCCCTGTATGAAAATCATCTGTCTGTGATAATTGCATTCATTATGACTCCTAGTTGTTTAGTTTCTGTCACCATGACCGTGTCGGGATTTACATTGTATGCTCCCCAAGTTCAGTTGTCTTGTTAGTGATTCCCTCCTCATTTGTGTACATGACATTAAAGATCATTTTAATCTGTTTTGTTTGTTCCTGTTTTTCAACCTCAGAAACATTGAAGATGTTACGTAATTCGAAGAGACTGACAGGTTATTATTGTATATGAGGAAAAACTGGGTTAATGGGTGTATGAGGCCAAGGAGGACGAGTGTGGGTTGGCTGTTTTCGAGGGGGGGGGGGGGGTCGAAGCGCCTCCGCGCGGCCCGGTTTCTGAACCAGTTATTCTTCCCTCGTATTCTGAACGCTCGTATTCTGAACGCCAGCAGACTGAACGCCAGCAGACTGAACGCCAACAAGGCATACATATGCAATAAACACATTCATGTAATCACGACACACATTTCTCCTACGAACCATTTGTAAATGACAAGTATATAAGTATATTCATGGGGGCGACTATTAACTTTGGTTCTATTAACCAAAGCTCTATTAACCGGGGACCCTATTAATCAAAACTTTATTTATGAACAGGTAAAAAAAAAAATAAAAGCCTTACGAGGGAGCCATTCGACGCTAATGGCTTGTATTGAAAACATGTTACGAACTTATTGCTCGATCAACTCCAATTGCTCGGCCAAAAGAATATACTATGGACCCCGTTACTCTCTCTCTCTCTCTCTCTCTCTCTCTCTCTCTCTCTCTCTCTCTCTCTCTCTCTCTCTCTCTCTCTCTCTCTCTCTCATATGGGGAGGGGGGTTAATGAGATGGGTCAAGTGGGTTATTGTGGGTGGGGAAGGAGTGGGGGGGGGGATGGCCTTGTGGGGCTGTGTGAATGGGGGGGATGACATTTGCAGCTTTATCTGCAAATATTCTTCCCTGGGAGCGTAGAGGAGTAGGTGCAGTGGTTACGGATTATAGGAAAATGACGTTGCAAAAAATGCATTCGATCTTAAATAGTTCTTGAAAGTTGCTGTTTATCTCAAACCGTAACGTCTTGACTCGTATATATATATTTCCGAAATTAGAGATTGGCTTTACGTAGAGTTCCCGTTACTCTGAGGTCCTCTTACTTTATGCTCCTCTTACACTGAGCTCCTCTTCATTGCCAGACATTAAAAAATTCTTAAACTCACTGGAAAGGACTTTTGGAATTTGAAATAAAAGCAACATATTATTCAGAGTTATTAGAGAGAGAGAGAGAGAGAGAGAGAGAGAGAGAGAGAGAGAGAGAGAGAGAGAGAGAGAGAGAGAGAGAGAGAGAGAGAGAGAGAGAGAGAGAGAGAGAGAGAGAGATGAAGGAATCTTAGAGAGGGAATATTGATAAAAGATAGACACGTGGCGTAATAGACAGAGATTTAGGTCACTCAAGTTAGCATATAGAGATTGAGACAGTCTAACGGACTTAAAGATGCCATACATGCAATAGACAGAAATACAAACATACGCTTGCATTCTCTTCAACCCTCCCCCTCCCCACTCCCCCCCCCTCTCATCAGACACCTCCATGACGTCATCCCTCTTACAACACCTCCCTCAACACCTGAACAGGTAAGCCAATGGCACTGCAAACACCCGCTCAATACCCCTTCCTCCTCCTCCCTCACACATAAATATGTTTTCAATATGACCATTACCCACCATTGGCGTTAGGGGAACTCGTTATCTCTTCATAAATATAACCGGTGTAATGTAAGCAAAACGAGGGAATGATAACGAGGCTCCCACACGCCAGGGGGGGGGGGGAGACCCCCATGATCTGGTTTATAAATCAGTGGTTTATTGAATATGGTGGTAAAAGAGTGTGGGTTCTTGGTTAACCCCTTCCCTTCCTCCTCCTCTCCCTGCCACCCACATGGGGTGGTTAGATGGGTGGTTGGGTCTTTCAACTACCCAAAGTGGGTGGTTATAAAGGGGGGGGGGAGGTAGGTAGAAGCAGCAGCTTGTTGTTAACGAGAGTGTTCGCTGTCTCTGTTAGCGAGTTCGTTAGCGAGTATTCGACACTCGGAATTACTAGACCATCGTCAAGCACACTTGTTTTCTGAGACTGTGAGGGCCTGATAGGCAGCCCGTCCTCATAAACAAAGACCCAAAGTCCATTCCATGCACCCGCCAAACCCCCAGCTGTTTATGAATGAAAAACGGTTTACACACGACTCACAACTGATGACTGTTGTTATAGGTTCAGCTACTCGGAACAAGTTCTAAGTAGCACGGGCTATGGTGAGCCCGTAGCTTACCTGGCACAGGAGCGGGGCAAGTAGCATGGGCTATGGTGAGCCCGTAGCTTACCTGGCACAGGAGCGGGGCAAGTAGCATGGGCTATGGTGAGCCCGTAGTGAACTTACCTGGCACAGGAGCGGTGCTGTGTGAAAAACTGATGACGTTCGAACACTTCCGGAACAAGTGCTTCACTGACGACTTTTGTTCGAACCACAACGCTGTAAATGCTTCACCCACGTACTACAAATACAAATAATCGCCAACAGAACCTAAACACCTAACCTGACCTAACCAATGCTTAAATATGCACAAAATGCTAATATTTATATAATGTTAATTTATATTTGAGAAAATTCCTGTTTTGAATGAACAGCATGTAAAAATTAATGACTACGTCTGTGGGGTCGACCGCTGGATGGAATGAACTTAGTCTGAGGACGGGATGAGATATCTAAGTAGTTTCCGATTCATTCTGTTTTGTGATGGTAATTCCATTGTTGTTCGTGATTGTCTGGGCACGTATTATTTCCCTGCCCCAGGAACCCCCCCCCCTCCCCCACTGCCCCTTTCCCCTGCTTGACCCCTACCCCTTCTTCCCCTACCACCCTTCCCTCTCCCCTGCCCCTCCCACCAATCTCCCTCCTACCCCTCAAATATTTCCGGGCAAGTGTCTGAAGGATTAGAGGAGAGAGGGGGGGGGGAGGAGAAGGGGGGGTGATTGGGGGAGTGGAGGGAAGAGGAGGAGTAGGGGGGGAAGAGGGGAAGAGAGGGAGAGAGAGAGGGGGGAGGGGGGAGGAAAGCTATCGATAAAAAAAAATAGTTATTTACAATATTTTTGAGCGCAAGTTGGGAATTCCTTTGAAACATGACAGCCATTGAGGATCTGTCGTAACTCAAGCGGTAACCTGAATATAGTCATATCATTGGATATCTTGCATATAGCAGGGGGAAGGGGGAGGGGTGTGTCTGGCTCGCCGCCGGGAACACAATGCCCCCCGGGTCGATGCCCGTGGCCACAGGGAAGGGCTATAGCGAGCTACGTTTATATATATATATAGCGTGCCTCGAACCGGGGACCCGCAAACTAGCACGGTTCAATTCATTTTACGAGACACCTTCAATAAATATCTGGCCAATAAGATATTCTTTTCTACTCCGTCTCTCTCTCTCTTGCTGAGAGTTCTCTTCAGATTAGGGATATTCACTGAAGGGGATAAGGGGAAAGGAGCCATTGATTGGGGGGGAGAGGGGGGAGGAGGGGGAGAGGGGGGGGGGAGGGGGGGGGGGGGGAGAGGGGGGAGGGGGGGAGGGGGGAGGGGGGGAGGAGGGAGGGGCGGGAGGGGGGGTTTGGTAGACTTTGGCTATGGAAGCTCCTGAGCTATTATTCAGTCATATATTCTTCACTCTACCGCCATACTACTTCTTTTAGCATGGTCGGCGTTCGATTCCCCGATGGACGATAAGTGATTGGACCCTTGTTCCTTCACCTAGTCCTCATATTCCAGATCCTCATGTCCCTTCCAAGGGCTTCTTACCTTGAGGTGCTTCCGGGGCTTACCGTCCCCGCGGCCCGGTCGTCGACCAGGCCTCCTGGTTGCTGGACTGATCAACCAGGCTGTGCTGCAGAGTGACATTGACTCAGCTTCTTGTCTTGCTAATTGTCTAACTGTAGGGACGATAAATGGGATGAAAGAGGCTGCAAAATCATCCCCTCCTATCCCTACTGTATTTTAATAAGCTTGGGATAGTGTATCCCAAGCTTGTGAGGGGAATATCCCAAGCTTGTGAGGGGAATATCCCAAGCTTGTGAGGGGAATATCCCAAGCTTGTGAGGGGAATATCCCAAGCTTGTGAGGGGAATATCCCAAGCTTGTGAGGGGAATATCCCAAGCTTGTGAGGGGAATATCCCAAGCTTGTGAGGGGAATATCCCAAGCTTGTGAGGGGAATATCCCAAACTTGTGAGGGGAATGAGGCTTCAACTCATTCCTCGTGAGGGGGGGGGAGAGCTTGGTTTCCCCTCACGAGCAGATGATAGAGAAATTTGCGGGTTATTCATGCCTGTACCACCTCTTGGGTGGCTTAATCTTCACCAATCAATCAATCGACAGAGGGAGGGAGGAAATTATCAGGAGAAAGAGCAGAGAAAACTCTTTATTTCCGACTCGTTGTGATCCCAAGCGAGGAGGCTAAGAGAGTTATCTTCTTGAGATTATCTTGAGATGATTTCGGGGCTTAGTGTCCCCGCGGCCCGGTCCTCGACCAGGCCTCCACCCCCCAGGAAGCAAGCAGCCCGTGACAGCTGACTAACTCCAAAGCCTCTATTTACTGCTAGGTAACAGGGGCATCAGGGGTGAATAAAACTCTGCCCATTGTTTCTCGCCGGCGCCTGGGATCGAACCCGGAACCACAGGATCACGAGTCCAGTATTCTGTCAGCTCAGCCACCGGCTCCGTGGCTCCCAGTTAAGACCCAACTGCCCCCCCCCCTTGACCTCAACCCCACTAGCTAAAACACGCCAAGAACACATACATATTTACATGTTTTAACACAACCATAGTGAGGACAAGATAGTTAATCAGCGCTATTATCCATTTTAATTAGTAGTTCCACATAAGATTCAATATGCTGGTGGGACACATGTACAGAGGTAAATAATAGTATTTTCCCTCTCTGTTGGACTACATACACAAACTGCTCTTTAAATAATGTATTAATAAATATACTCACCGTGTATTAATGATGTTCACGACCCGTCAGTAATGGACCATGAAATCCTTTGCTGGGGATATAATTATTTATTTATGCTTTAATTCGACGTTTTACTTAGCATGAATTAATTTTTTTTTTTTAGAATTTTCGTGGAATTTTCACGTATTTTTTTTAGTATTTTTCACCTATTTTGGTAGTATTTCTCACCTGTTTCGGTAGTGTTTCTCACTTGTTTTGGTAGTGTTTCTCATCTGTTTTGGTGGTGTTTCTCACCTGTTTTGGTAGTGTTTCTCACCTGTTTTGGTGGTGTTTCTCACCTGTTTTGGTAGTGTTTCTCACCTGTTTTGGTAGTGTTTCTCATCTGTTTTGGTAGTGTTTCTCACCTGTTTTGGTAGTGTTTCTCACCTGTTTTGGTGGTGTTTCTCACCTGTTTTGGTAGTGTTTCTCACCTGTTTTGGTAGTGTTTCTCACCTGTTTTGGTGGTGTTTCTCACCTGTTTTGGTAGTGTTTCTCACCTGTTTTGGTAGTGTTTCTCACTTGTTTTGGTAGTGTTTCTCATCTGTTTTGGTAGTGTTTCTCACTTGTTTTGGTAGTGTTTCTCACCTGTTTCGGTAGTGTTTCTCATCTGTTTTGGTAGTGTTTCTCACCTGTTTTGGTGGTGTTTCTCACCTGTTTTGGTAGTGTTTCTCATCTGTTTTGGTAGTGTTTCTCACTTGTTTTGGTAGTGTTTCTCATCTGTTTTGGTAGTGTTTCTCACCTGTTTCGGTAGTATTTCTCACCTGTTTCGGTAGTGTTTCTCACTTGTTTTGGTAGTGTTTCTCATCTGTTTTGGTAGTGTTTCTCACCTGTTTTGGTAGTGTTTCTCATCTGTTTTGGTAGTGTTTCTCACCTGTTTTGGTGGTGTTTCTCACCTGTTTTGGTAGTGTTTCTCACCTGTTTTGGTAGTGTTTCTCACCTGTTTTGATAGTGTGTCTCATCTGTTTTGGTAGTGTTTCTCACCTGTTTTGGTAGTGTTTCTCGCCTGTTTTGATAGTGTTTCTCATCTGTTTTGGTAGTGTGTCTCATCTGTTTTGGTAGTGTTTCTCACCTGTTTTGGTAGTGTTTCTCACCTGTTTTGGTAGTGTTTCTCACCTGTTTTGATAGTGTTTCTCATCTGTTTTGGTGGTGTTTCTCACCTGTTTTGGTAGTGTTTCTCGCCTGTTTTGATAGTGTTTCTCATCTGTTTTGGTAGTGTTTCTCACCTGTTTTGGTAGTGTTTCTCACCTGTTTTGGTAGTGTTTCTCACCTGTTTTGGTAGTGTTTCTCACCTGTTTTGGTAGTGTTTCTCACCTATTTTGGTAGTGTTTCTCACCTGTTTTGGTAGTGTTTCTCACCTATTTTGGTAGTGTTTCTCACCTATTCTCAACAGTTACATTGGATAGTTAGAGTTATATCTAAATACAAGGATTAATGTATATCATTCAGAGTAGGCTATCATGTCAATCATTCAGAGTAAGATGTCATGTTGTTATCACTGTGTTATATTGCTGTCGGTGATTGATTTGCAAGATACAAGGTTATCCTAATATCTTAATCACCTGCATTCAATGAGCCAAAGTCATTAATACTCACCTGTTTATTGGTCAGTATACTCTGCTGATAATTAGTCAATTTGATACAATTTATCAAATTGTATTGATCTATATTGATCTATCGTAGCAAATTATTGACCTCTTCTGGCTATCTATAATATATGCCGTACGTTTTTTCTGATGTGATTTTTTTGTAACACTAAATGAGTCAAAACATAAAAAAGTCTATTATAGTGTTTTTTCTTAGTAATATTTCATTATATAAAAGGCACTTTTTGTTAAACTTTTCATAGCGTATGAAATATATAACACAATTTAAAAAAAAAAAATTCAGATATATCCAGAGTATATTGTTTTTTTTTCTGTTAATGGTGTTAAAATTTCATTAGTATGCTATTACACTATACCCCGGCTGTGCCCGGGTCTCTTAACCCTTCCCCCCTCTCTCTATCATTTCCCTCCATCCCCCCTTTCTCTCTCCCCTCTCTCTCCCCCCATGTTGAAAATGAAAACGAAAAAATCAAATATTTTCCAATATTATTTATTCAGCTGATCATATTGATTCATCTTTCCCTGTAGTGGGTGGGAGAGGTGATGAGGTTCGAGGTTCCCTACAGACACCAGCTGCAGGAGTGCCTGTCGAAGGTCTACGGTGTTGAGCTGCTCCTGGACCGCCTGTGGAGCGGGAGACAAGGTCAAAGGTCACGAGCAATTAGCGAAAATAATCTAGAGAAATGGTGGTAATTTATTTATACCCAATTTATACTCATTGTTTCATGTTCTGTCTTGTGTTGATACTTTTAATACCCTATATCAGTAAAGAAGAGTTTTCTTGTGAGTCTGACAGTTAACTTAGAGAGTCCCCCCTCCGACTCTCTAAGTTAAGTCCCAGACTCACTTCCCCGACACGATAGAGACATGATTGCGACTTAAAAGATATAGCAAGCAGTCATCATGCTAAATGCGTCAGTATTAGTTTCTAAAGGGATATCTATGTATCGGATATCTAAAGTATGCGCTGCATTTTGTGAGCATTATATCGAAATAGGAAGATCGAAGGTTACTAGGCATTAATGGGGGTTCGAAGCTGTTTTAAAATTTCATATGCATGTTTTAAGGTCATAGTGTACAGAGTGGACGTAACAAGGGGGCCAGATTCACGAAGCAGTTACGCAAGCACTTACGAACCTGGGGCCAGATTCACGAAGCAGTTACGCAAGCACTTACGAACCTGGGGCCAGATTCACGAAACACTTACGCAAGCACTTACGAACCTGGGGCCAGATTCACGAAGCAGTTACGCAAGCACTTACGAACCTGGGGCCAGATTCACGAAACACTTACGCAAGCACTTACGAACCTGGGGCCAGATTCACGAAGCAGTTACGCAAGCACTTACAAACTTGGGGGCCAGATTCACGAAGCAGTTACGCAAGCACTTACGAACCTGGGGCCAGATTCACGAAGCAGTTACGCAAGTACTTACGAACGTGTACATCTTTCCTCAAACTTTGGCGTCTTTGGTTACATTTATTAAACAGTTTAGAAGCATGAAAACTTGCCAATTAACTATTGTTATTGTTATAAACAGCCTCCTGGTGCTTCGGAGTTCATTAACTGTTTAATAATTGTAAACAAAGTCGCCAAAGATTGAGAAAAGATGTACAGGTTCGCAAGTGCTCGCGTACCTTCTTCGTGAATCTGGCCCCAGGTTCGTAAGTGCTTGCGTAACTGCTTCGTGAACCTGGCCCCAGGTTCGTAAGTGCTTGTGTAACCGCTTCGTAAATCTGGCCCCAGGTTCGTATGTGCTTGCGTAACCGCTTCGTAAATCTGGCCCCAGGTTCGTAAGTGCTTGCGTAACCGCTTCGTGAATCTGGCCCCAGGTTCGTAAGTGCTTGCGTAACCGCTTCGTGAATCTGGCCCCAGGTTCGTAAGTGCTTGCGTAACTGCTTCGTGAACCTGGTCCCAGGTTCGTAAGTGCTTGCGTAACCGCTTCGTAAATCTGGCCCCAGGTTCGTATGTGCTTGCGTAACCGCTTCGTGAATCTGGCCCAAGGTCTGAGAACATTAACATGAAAACATAGTGAACGGGCTGTAAAATTTCCGTTGGAATCGAGAGGGGTAGTTAAGAACAGGTGATTAGACACTGGAGGTGGTGGTGGGGAGGGGGGAAGTAGGGGTGGGGAGGGGATTTGGGGTGGGGGGAGATTCGAACAAGGAGACATCAGAGAGAGCTATGTACCTCCTACACCAGATTCAAAAGGCCCCTGAAATTATATCACACCAGCCAATTGGACATTTGAAAGGCGGAGCACAAGAGCCTGAGCTCAACATAACACAAAACCTATTAATATAATACGCGAACAATACGTGTGAAGCCATCCCCCCCTCCCCCTTTGACGAGCTTTTAATAAATCACCGTGTTCATTTGTGAACAAGGAACATGAACGACGCGTACACAAAAGTGTTCACTCACACTAAGTACCAAACACGCTTACACGAACCGCCCGAATGAACGTGTGTGTGTGTGCGCGTGTGTGTGTGTGTGTGTGTGTGTGTGTGTGTGTGTGTGTGTGTGTGTGTGTGTGTGTGTGTGTGTGTGTGTGTGTGTGTGTGTATATGTGTGTGTGTGTGTGTGTGTGTGTGTGTGCGTGCGTTGCACACAATACAACACGCAATTTTCGATCTTAAATATTACACAACTAATCGCTACTAATGAGAGCTGGTGACAGGAGAGGAGGTGGGGGGGAGCGGGGGGAGCGGGGGGAGGGGGGTGGTGGTTTCATGTGACGAATTGCCAGATAAAATGCGTTATGTGTCAACAAACTTTATACTGGGGGGGGGGGGGGGCGGATAGATTGACTTGGTCAATTTACTGCAATATTTAGAAAACTCTTCGCTAAGCTCTTAATACATTTCGAACGTAATTCCTTATTCGGAAATATGTGTATAAGGTTAGTCTTATGGTCGAATTTGTACGTGTCGTGAGAGGAAAGGGGGGGGGTAGAGGGTGGGGAGGGGGTTTGTAATGGGAATTTAGGGGTGGTGGGGGGGTGGCATACTCCCCCTGCCCTCCCCTCAACAAACACACAACATTTGACGAAGAACCTACCTTCCATAACTGGGGTTCGAATCTGTTCAGGATCTCGTTTCTGAAGACGTTAGGTAAGATGTTGATAGCAGCTTCCAGCAGGTAATCAAATGAGCCCATACCTGAGGACCGGAACTCCATGTTACCTGTACGGAGAGAGAGAGAGAGAGAGAGAGAGAGAGAGAGAGAGAGAGAGAGAGAGTGAAAATCAAATTTGCACAATATACCCATTTTTCATAATTCCTCACACTAACCTCATTCTTAATTGCCCCTATGCAAATTTAGACTTTTGTAAATAAAACCTACATCTTTTTTATATATGAAAACAAATACAATTACAAAAACAGTGGGGGGGGGGGGGGGTGTATGAGTTTTGCTACATAACTGTTCAAGTGAGTGACTTTAAAAGCGTGTTGTAGCTGATAACTTGCCTACAAGGCAGTAACAAGATGTGAGAGAGGGGAAATTGTTGAACGCAATGAACCGCCAAACTTGTGAGATTGTGTCGTGCTTGCTTGTGTCGTGCTTGCTTGTGTCGTGCTTGCTTGTGTCGTGCTTGCTTGCTTGTGTCGTGCTTGCTTGCTTGTGTCGTGCTTGCTTGCTTGTGTCGTGCTTGCTTGCTTGTGTCGTGCTTGCTTGTGTCGTGCTTGCTTGCTTGTGTCGTGCTTGCTTGCTTGTGTCATGCTTGCTTGTGTCATGCTTGCTTGCTTGTGTCGTGCTTGCTTGCTTGTGTCGTGCTTGCTGCTTGTGTCGTGCTTGCTTGCTTGTGTCGTGCTTGCTGCTTGTGTCGTGCTTGCTGCTTGTGTCGTGCTTGCTTGTGTCGTGCTTGCTTGCTTGTGTCGTGTTTGCTGCTTGTGTCGTGCTTGCTGCTTGTGTCGTGCTTGCTGCTTGTGTCGTGCTTGCTTGTGTCGTGCTTGCTTGCTTGTGTCGTGTTTGCTGCTTGTGTCGTGCTTGCTGCTTGTGTCGTGCTTGCTTGCTTGTGTCGTGCTTGCTGCTTGTGTCGTGTTTGCTGCTTGTGTCGTGCTTGCTGCTTGTGTCGTGTTTGCTGCTTGTGTCGTGCTTGCTGCTTGTGTCGTGCTTGCTGCTTGTGTCGTGCTTGCTTGTGTCGTGCTTGCTTGCTTGTGTCGTGTTTGCTGCTTGTGTCGTGCTTGCTGCTTGTGTCGTGCTTGCTGCTTGTGTCGTGCTTGCTGCTTGTGTCGTGCTTGCTTGCTTGTGTCGTGCTTGCTGCTTGTGTCGTGCTTGCTGCTTGTGTCGTGCTTGCTTGCTTGTGTCGTGCTTGCTGCTTGTGTCGTGCTTGCTTGTGTCGTGCTTGCTGCTTGTGTCGTGCTTGCTTGTGTCGTGCTTGCTGCTTGTGTCGTGCTTGCTGCTTGTGTCGTGCTTGCTGCTTGTGTCGTGCTTGCTTGCTTGTGTCGTGCTTGCTGCTTGTGTCGTGCTTGCTGCTTGTGTCGTGCTTGCTTGCTTGTGTCGTGCTTGCTGCTTGTGTCGTGCTTGCTTGTGTCGTGCTTGCTGCTTGTGTCGTGCTTGCTTGTGTCGTGCTTGCTTGCTTGTGTCGTGCTTGCTGCTTGTGTCGTGCTTGCTTGCTTGTGTCGTGCTTGCTGCTTGTGTCGTGCTTGCTTGTGTCGTGCTTGCTGCTTGTGTCGTGCTTGCTTGTGTCGTGCTTGCTGCTTGTGTCGTGCTTGCTTGTGTCGTGCTTGCTGCTTGTGTCGTGTTTGGGTGAGTTGTGTGGGGTTGTGTTTGGTTTTGTCGAGTTTTGTTTTGTTTTTTGGGGGGGGGGTGTTTGGTAGTGTCTCCTGCGCGCACGCGTTTCTGTGTGTGTGTGTTTGTGTGTTTGTTTGTGTGTGTGTGTGTGTGTGTGTGTGTGTTTGTTTGTGTGTGTGTGTGTGTTTGTGTGTGTGTGTGTGTGTGTGTGTGTGTGTGTGTGTGTGTGTGTGTGTGTGTGTGTGTGTGATGTGTGTGTGTGTGTGTGTGTGTACTAACTCACCTATATGTACTCACCTATATGTGCTTGCAGGATCGAGCATTGACTCTTGGATCCCGCCTTTCGAGCATCGGTTGTTTACAGCAATGACTCCTGTCCCATTTCCCTATCATACCTGGTTTTAAAATTATGAATAGTATTTGCTTCCACAACCTGTTCCTGAAGTGCATTCCATTTCCCCACTACTCTCACGCTAAAAGAAAACTTCCTAACATCTCTGTGACTCATCTGAGTTTCAAGCTTCCATCCATGTCCTCTCGTTCTGTTACTATTGCGTGTGAACATTTCGTCTATGTCCACTCTGTCAATTCCTCTGAGTATCTTATACGTTCCTATCATGTCCCCCCTCTCCCTTCTTCTTTCTAGTGTCGTAAGGCACAGTTCCCTCAGGCGCTCTTCATACCCCATCCCTCGTAGCTCTGGGACGAGTCTCGTTGCAAACCTCTGAACCTTTTCCAGTTTCATTATATGCTTCTTCAGATGGGGACTCCATGATGAGGCGGCATACTCTAAGACTGGCCTTACGTAGGCAGTGTAAAGCGCCCTAAATGCCTCCTTACTTAGGTTTCTGAATGATGTTCTAACTTTTGCCAGTGTAGAGTACGCTGCTGTCGTTATCCTATTAATATGTGCCTCAGGAGATAGATTAGTGTGTGTGTGTGTGTGTGTGTGTGTGTGTGTGTGTGTGTGTGTGTGTGTGTGTGTGTGTGTGTGTGTGTGTGTGATGTGTGTGTGTGTGTGTGTGTGTGTGTGTGTGTGTATTCCCCCCTCCGACAAAGCAGTCAGGAGAATCGAGAGGTTACTAGGAAGAATAATTTTTAACTTTACTAAACTAAGTTGGGCTTTACTACGAGACGTAGAATATAATTCATTAAAAAAAATATACATTATTGCATTACAGCAGAATAGACAACGTAGTGTCAACTCACCAGACACACACAAAACCACCACCACAACCACCACCACCACCACGGAAGACAACCACCATCCCAGCAACACTAGTAATACCAGTGAAGGCTGGTATAATTAGTACCAGTAGCTGGTAGTTAAGACTAGCTGCTAGTTATAGTACTAGCCACCTGTCCCCAGTTATTCCTTCCTCTACTACCCACCCTATCCACCCGCAAACAGCTCCCCACAATCCACCAACCAGCCAACAAACGTACCAATTTTGCCATCCAGGGTTCGAAGCACAGGCGGACTTCTCATATGGGCCCTCTGGTGGAGCTCGAAGATGGCACTGAAGGTGTCAATGTTGATGTCCAGGCGGCCATAGGCACCTGGCAGGTATGGCACCCACCACACACCTGTCACCTTCACCTCGTGCGCCCCTACCTGTCCAAAAAACAGTTCCACTAGTAGTTCAGCACACCAGCGGGAAGGGGGGGCAGATTCGCGAAGTAGTTACGCAAGCACTTAGGAACCTGGGGACAGGTTTACGAAGCAGTTACGCAAGCACTTAGGAACCTGGGGACAGATTCGCGAAGTAGTTACGCAAGCACTTAGGATCCTGGGGCCAGATTCACGAAGCAGTTACGCAAGCACTTAATAACCTGGGGCCAGATTCACGAAGCCGTTACGCAAGCACTTACGAACCTGGGGCCAGATTCATGAAGTAGTTACGCAAGCACTTAGGAACCTGGGGCCAGATTCACGAAGCAGTTACGCAAGCACTTACGAACCTGGGGTCCAAATTCACAAAGCAGTTACGCAAGCACTTACGAACCTGTCCATCTTTTCTCAATCTTTGGCGGCATTGTTTACGATTATTAAACCGTTAATGAGCCCCGAAGCACCAGGAGGCTGTTTATATCAATAACAACAGTTGATTGGCAAGTTTTCATGCTTGTAAACTGTATAATAAATGTAACCAAAGCCGTAAAAGATTGAAAAAAGATGTACACGTTGGTAAGTGCTTGCGTAACTGCTTCGTGAATCCGGGTCTGTAAAGTTTTACGTCAATATTGCAACAAAATGAGTCTTATAGAACAGGGCCAGAAGGGCGAGAATTTTGATCAAAGTTCTCACCTCTGCTTGAGCGATGAAAGTGTTATCCACAAGCTTGATGACACAATCTCTGGTCCTGTGCACGGTGCTGAGGCCAGACACAACAACCTGGTCCATCTGGAACGGCAGGATAGGAAGAGAAGCCATTTGCCCCAATGAACATAATATACAAGAAAGGCGTTAGTTCCCTTTTAAAGCAACTACACACAGAAATCCCAATAGCGGTGATGCATCAAATGAACAAATCCACCAGGGCCGTGACGAGGATTCGAACCTGCGTCCGAGAGTATCCCAGACGCTGCCCTACATACGAGGACGTAGGTTCGAATCCTCGTCACGGTTCTTGTGGGTTTGTTAATTTACTCAATATTGCGGACACTGGTGTAGTGAATATAGATAATTAATGAACAAATATGTATAGTGATTATTATATTGTGAATATATAGTGCTATAAGGTATGTGGCGTAAGGTATATAAGGTAAAAATAATTAAAATTAAAAATTAGAATGATTAATCTTCAATTATTCTCAATCGTCTGAATCTTGTATAATAACTAAAACATCAATTAGGATTATGTTATTAATCATGCCCAAGGTATAAAGCTGGCTTACCTGGAGGGTAATACCCAGGCCCAGGTAGACAGACGTATTACCGACGTACCAAGGCTCCATATCCGAGTCTCGAAGGAGGAGTCTCACCTTAGAAGATGTCGTCAATGTTAATACCATGTACTAATAGAGCTCAAAACACTACGACAAAAAGCTTTACAGTCAGAAAATACAACGAAATATTATATAGATGCTTAGGGCTAGTCTCATCAAATTTTGCAGGGGGACGGGTGGCTGGTGGGGGATAATCATACGAAGGCAGGAGATGAAGAGAATGAGTGATGAATAGAGTTGATTAATGAGAGAGAGAGAGAGAGAGAGAGAGAGAGAGAGAGAGAGAGAGAGAGAGAGAGAGAAATAGACGGAATAAGAAAGATAAAACAGCTGAAATAAAGGAAAAAAGTCCAACCTTTGTCATCATAAAGTCCAATGGAGGAGTAGAGTCCGGGAAGAACCAGCCGTCGGCCACCAGGTGAAGCTCGGGATTAATGACCTCCACCAGCCACTCCTTCACCTGCTGGTGCATAGGAAACAACCCCTCCACATGTGTAACCCTTTAAAATGTACACATGGGTACACACACACCTGAAAAATACGCCTATAGGAGCTCAAATACACACACACACACACACACACACACACACACACACACACACACACACACATACACCGTCAGTAGTTTCAAAGCATTATATGACAAAGAGTGCTGGGAAGACGGGACACCACAAGCGTATCTGTAACTACACATAGGTAATTACACATGATGGGGATACATGGGGACATGTGTCCCTAGAACTAAGGGACACAAGGGGTATGTATCAAAGATAACGGGACAACAAAAAGATGAACGTTCGAATAAACCAAAGATTAAAAAAAAAGTCAATTCATACTTCTAATTAATATACAAATGTGGCAAAGCCCACATGGTTAAATGAGCCCAGAGGCGGAGACCAGGCACTGAAGCTCAACACAAATTCAAGCTAATATGACATGACTTTACAGAAAACGAGAACTCCCTAAGATAAGAATATTAAATCACGAGAAAGCATATAAAACAGATTATCATTGTTCCCCTCTTAAAATAAGTTCCTATTGAGCCTCTTATTGAAGCTCCTATTGAACAAGATGAGGACTCACTAAGGTCACGAGGCTGGGAAGGAAGATTGGAATAGCAGCCTTAACGCCTAGCAGATACGTAGTGGACAGATTCTCGAAGTTCACCACTATCTTGTCGTAGGTCATCTCCAGCTGAGGGTGGGAGAGGTCAGAGGTCATTAGGGCACCAGTGTTGGGGGAGAGAAGCCAGTGTTGGGGGAGAGAAGCCAGTGTTGGGGGAGAAGCCAGTGTTGGGAGAGAAGCCAGTGTTGGGGAGAAGCCAGTGCTGGGGGAGAAGCCAGTGCTGGGGGAGAAGCCAGTGTTGTTGGAGAAGCCAGTGTTGGGGAGAAGCCAGTGTTGGGAGAGAAGCCAGTGTTGGGGAGAAGCCAGTGTTGGAGAGAAGCCAGTGTTGGGGAGAAGCCAGTGTTGGGAGAGAAGCCAGTGTTGGGGAGAAGCCAGTGTTGGAGAGAAGCCAGTGTTGGGAGAGAAGCCAGTGTTGGGGAGAAGCCAGTGTTGGAGAGAAGCCAGTGTTGGGGAGAAGCCAGTGCTGGGAGAGAAGCCAGTGTTGGGGAGAAGCCAGTGCTGGGGGAGAAGCCAGTGCTGGGGGAGAACCCAGTGTTGTTGGAGAGAAGCCAGTGTTGGGGGAGAAGCCAGTGTTGGGAGAGAAGCCAGTGTTGGAGAGAAGCCAGTGTTGGAGAGAAGCCAGTGTTGGGGGAGAAGCCAGTGTTGGGAGAGAAGCCAGTGTTGGGGGAGAAGCCAGTGTTGGGAGAGAAGCCAGTGTTGGGGAGAAGCCAGTGTTGGAGAGAAGCCAGTGTTGGGGGAGAGAAGCCAGTGTTGGGGGAGAAGCCAGTGTTGGGAGAGAAGCCAGTGTTGGGAGAGAAGCCAGTGTTGGGAGAGAAGCCAGTGTTGGGGGAGAGAAGCCAGTGTTGGGAGAGAAGCCAGTGTTGGGAGAGAAGCCAGTGTTGGGGAGAAGCCAGTGTTGGGGGAGAGAAGCCAGTGTTGGGGGAGAGAAGCCAGTGTTGGGAGAGAAGCCAGTGTTGGGAGAGAAGCCAGTGTTGGGAGAGAAGCCAGTGTTGGGGGAGAGAAGCCAGTGTTGGGGGAGAGAAGCCAGTGTTGGGAGAGAAGCCAGTGTTGGGAGAGAAGCCAGTGTTGGGAGAGAAGCCAGTGTTGGGGAGAAGCCAGTGTTGGGGGAGAAGCCATTGTTGGGGAGAAGTCAATGTGATTGGAGAAGCCAGTGTTGGGAGACAAGCCAGTGTTGGAGAGAAGCCAGTGTTGTTGGAGAGAAGCCAGTATTCTCAGGTTTCTCTGGAATACAAAATACAATGACTGGAATACAAAATACAATGACTGGAATACAAAATACAATGACTGGAATACAAAAAGTCTGTATTCACCCTCCCTATCACTCAACTCCCATTGAAAGATAAGAGTATACTCTTTATCTAATTAAATCGAGTATGAGAGAGTTGATGATTTAAGCGTGGCTGCGAGGAATTATGTTCATAAAAGAACCCCCCTCCCCCAGGTTCGATCCCCCTATCCCTTTTCCGGAAAAGAATCTCTCCAGGTTTAAATTTTTTTGGTCTGCACTTCTGTGTGCTGGAATATGTGATAAATGACCAGTGTGTGATGGTGATACTAAGGGGGGAAAAAATAAAGCGTATTTGTAAAAGGCTAATTTGTTGTTTAATCGATAGATGAGCTTAGAAGGGGTTTAGGGGGGTAATGGGGGGGGGGAGGGGTTGAATTATGTGTTCTTTGTTTACACCTTCTCTTCTCTCTCCCCCCACTCTCCCCCTCCACCCATGCCCTCCAGTATTCATCACACTTCTACACCCATTTTTAAGGTGGGTGGTAAACCCACCCAAATCTCAAGTCCCAACCCCTTTTCCCCAGTTCCCTTCTTACCCAGTTCCCTTCTTTCCCATTTTCTTTTTTATCCAGTTCCCTTTTTTCCCAGTTCCCTTTTTTCCCAGTTCTCTTCTTTCCCAGTTCCCTTCTTTCAGCTCCCTCCCTCCCTCCAGTTCACAAAACGGACTCGGTTAGACCTCTTATACTGCTAATGATCCCTTCCTTTGTAGGGCAAATGGAATGACCCCAGATGGTGTCATGACAGTTTTGTTGCTCAAGGAGCTGGAAATAAGCTTTTAAGGGGCCACACTGCACCCAAGGAGACGTGAGGTGAAGGCTAATGACCCTCTCGGCTAGTTAGTCAATATTTTGCGTTTAAGGTTTTTTTTTTTAGGGATTAAGCTTCGAATTGGTGTTAGTTGTTGACCCGGGGTTAATGTCCTGTCTATTTGTTTTGCTGTTGTTCGTGTCTGTGTGATTTTTGAGGGTTTTATATATTTTTTGCAGGGTCGGCGTTCGATTCCCCGATGGTCAAAGCGGTTGGGCATTTTCCTTGACTCTGTTTTCTCATATTCCTTCACCCTCGTTGCTCTAATGAATATTAAATGTATAAAAATGTAAAAATTTGAATTCCTGAGATGTACAGATTAATTCGAATTTTTATATTGTTAATGTAAATGACCAATCCGTTAAAAATACGACTTATTAATGTAAAAAAATAAAGCATGGTAAAACTGACGTTTTATACGAATTGGGTTTTGAGGGGTTACGTCGGTTTTCTTTCGTACGCTTTTGGTCTGATAGAAACGTTGTTTTTTGGACGGAGTGGTTGTGTCTTCAGCCTTCTCTTGTGAGGTGTAGAGAGGAGTCTACCTCACCCTTCCATCTCCTAACCTGAGCTTCCCTCACTTCCCCCTTCCTTCCCTCCCTCTCTCTTCCCTCTCTTCCCCTCCTCTTCTTCTCTCCATAACCTCCCCTATCATCCCCCATCACCCCCCCCCTCAACTTTCCCCTCACCCCAACCCTCCCCAACCTCTCACCCCTTTTCCCTCCCTCCCCAATCCATTCGTCCCCCCCTCTCTCACCCCCTAACTCCCCAACCCCCTCCCTCTCTCCCTCCCCAATCCCCCCCTCACCCCCTCCCTCCCTCCCTCTCCAATCCACTCGTCCCCCCCTCCCTCCCTCCCTCCCTCCCTCCCCAATCCACTCATCCCCCCTCACCCCCACCCTCCCCCACCCATCACCTCCGTGTCGTCGGCGTCCATGACAAGTCGGCCGGTGTGGTCGGGTCGGACGCCTGATCGGAACGACAGCTGCACGTCGTGGAGACTGATATTGGTCGTCCCCGACTCGTCGCCGCTCCAGAACATCGTCGCCTTCCACAGGTACCGACCGAAGGACGACAACACCGGAAGCCTCGCGTCGATCTGCACCTGTGGGAGGATTGACAAGTGTTACAAATCGCTTGCATGGTCGGCGTTCGATCCCCCGATGACCCACGCCCAAGTGGTGGGGGGGGGGGACCGTTCTTTCCTACCGTCCTATGTCTTACCGTTGTTACGTTAATACAAGTACTATACAAGTTAATATTGGGGTTGCAGGTCGGCGTTCAATCCCCGACCGTCCAAGTGGTTGGGTACCATTCCTTTCCCCCCGTCCCATCCCAAATCCTTATCCTGACCCTTTCCCAGTGCTATATAGTTGTAATGGCTTGGCGCTTTCCCCCTGATAGTTCCCTTCCCTTCTTCCCCCCCCCCCCCCCCCCATCTTACCAAACTACCAGAGCAGTTTACCTACGTAGGCTGACATAGCAATATACTCTCAATACGCTTGTTGTCTTACAATCCGGTGTTGTTACAAGGTGTGTTCCGGTGATAGACCTCGAGTTATGTCTATTCCAAAATATTTTTCCTATTCTGACCAAAGCAAGTAGCACATCTTGTATTATCCATGAATATAAACTTCCTACCTTCTTCCTTAAACTCATCACATTGCATTTGCTTGTTTTAACGTCAAATAGCCAGGTTTGAAACCTTTCTCTCTTGTTTTTTTTTTTCCAGACTCTCCTGGAGTGCTCTGCAATCCTCACTTGTTCTGACGGTCCATAGGCAATTTTTCTTCGGCAAACATCAGCAAGTAGGATCCTAATTTCTCAGGTAAGCCATTAACGAATATGAGAAATATTACGGGTCTTCATGGTTCTCATTCTCATCTCTAGTTTCTCATCGTTAATTCCATGTTTGAGTGGTATTTACTTACCAGCTTAACACATAGTTCGGCTTAAGCTTTTTCTGAAGCCTCCTGTCGAAACTTTCTCAGTTCGGGAAAATTAAACGGCTCATCTTACTCTGTCCTGTGAGATCATAGTACTTGTTGTCGAAGACTCTAGCAGGTTTGTTAGCCATGTCCTCATCCATGAGCTCACGTTCACGCATTTTGGCGACATTTGTCCTTTTTAGAGGTCCTCTAGAGCCTCTTGTACGATCTCTCCAAGTCTCTTCAGGGCCTACATATCTAAGGTACAAACCCTGAGTTTTATAGTGTGTATATGAGGGTTTAACCTATTTTTTTTATCCTGTAAAGGTGTCGAGCCCAGGAGCTGAAGCTCTTACCAGCAAACAAAGTAGGTTAACACCTATAGGTTAGTGTATTTTGGGCAAGAAAAACTAGTCCTTGGAACATTTTCAACTGTAAACAAAGAAGATAATAATAAATTCTAATAGTAATTAAAAAATATATTATCAAGAAAAAGTTACTCCTGTATTCATCCATCTATCTGTCTCCATCCTCCCATCCCCCCCCCTATCAACTATCATTTATCTATCCACTAATCTATTGCGACTCCACCAATCCTCCACCACGCCATCCACCTGCTCTCTCTCTCTCTCTCTCTCTCTCTCTCTCTCTCTCTCTCTCTCTCTCTCTCTCTCTCTCTCTCTCTCTCTCTCTCTCTCTCTCTCTCTCTCTCACCGTGAGGGAGGAGAGGTTGAAGGAGGCTGCCTCCACAGTGAGGTTGGACAGGCCAAACAGGTTCTGGTCACAGAGGCTGAGGGAATTGGTGAGGTGGTAGGACTCCGGGAACGCCATCGGGTCTGCCAATTTGAGCACTGGCAAGGAGGAATAGACATAGTTAATTGAGAGAGAGATATTGGAATCAGAATAAATTGAAAACATGTAAATAAAAAGTAACAAATTTTGTATATAGAAAACAAAGTTAATTACATTTCTCCCAAAATATAAATATTCATCTAAGAAGCTCACAAAATATTATTTACTTAACGTAACTTTTTGGATATCAGCCACAAAATATCAGTTATTATAAAAAAAATATTGAATATCGGTTGTCTAATGTACTGACTCCGGAACGATTTTTCCTCCATTATATTTATTACATATATTTCTTTTTAACACACACACACACACACACACACACACACACACACACACACACACACACACACACACACACACACACACACACACACACACACACACACACACACACATCCCCCAGGAAGCAGCCCGTAACAGCTGTCTATAACTCCCAGGTACCTATTTCCTGCTAGGGGCATCAGGGTGAAAAACTGTGCTCATTGTTCCTCGCCTGTGCCGGGAATCGAACCCGGGCCACTGGACTACGAGTCCCGCGTGCTGTCCACTCAGCTACCAGCGCGTGCGTGCTTATGTGCGTGCGTTTAGGTGTTCCGACGCTAAGCTCTTGGGCCTCGACTCTTATTTATTTGTCTTTTATATTTGCTCATTCTCTCATAATTACTCATTCTCTCATAATTACTCATTCTCTCATAATTACTCATTCTCTCATAATTACTCATTCTCTCATAATTACTCATTCTCTCATAATTACTCATTCTCTCATAATTACTCATTCTCTCATAATTACTCATTCTCTCATAATTACTCATTCTCTCACAATTGCTCATTCTCTCATAATTGCTCATAGAAATGTGAGTAGCTGCGGCTTATAGCACCTCTGCTCTCAGAGGTGCTTGCTCTTGCACCTCTGCTCAATTTGGGTTGGACGGTAGAGCGACGGTCTCGCTTCATGCAGGTCGGCGTTCAATCCCCGACCGTCCACCAAGTGGTTGGGCACCATTCCTTCAATCCATCCCATCCCAAATCCTTATCCTGATCCCTTCCCATTGCTATATAGCCGTAATGGCTAGGCGCTTTCTCCCGATAGTTCCCTTCTCCCTCAGCTCTCAGATCATTGAAAACGTGTTTATATCTCACACTGCATCTGAGTACTTGCACTAATCTCACTCATTCATGCAACTAACTTTCACTAATCTCACCCATTCATGCAACTAACTTTCACTAATCTCACTCATTCATGCAACTAACTTTCACTAATCTCACCCATTCATGCAACTAACTTTCACTAATCTCACCCATTCATGCAACTAACTTTCACTAATCTCACTCATTCATGCAACTAACGTTCACTAATCTCACTCATTCAAGCAACTAACTTTCACTAATCTCACCCATTCATGCAACTAACTTTCACTAATCTCACTCATTCATGCAACTAACTTTCACTAATCTCTCCCATTCATGCAACTAACTTTCACTAATCTCACCCATTCATGCAACTAACGTTCACTAATCTCACTCATTCAAGCAACTAACTTTCACTAATCTCACCCATTCATGCAACTAACTTTCACTAATCTCACTCATTCAAGCAACTAACTTTCACTAATCTCACCCATTCATGCAACTAACTTTCACTAATCTCACTCATTCATGCAACTAACTTTCACTAATCTCACCCATTCATGCAACTAACTTTCACTAATCTCACCCATTCATGCAACTAACTTTCACTAATCTCACCCATTCATGCAACTAACTTTCACTAATCTCACTCATTCATGCAACTAACTTTCACTAATCTCACCCATTCATGCAACTAACTTTCACTAATCTCACTCATTCAAGCAACTAACTTTCACTAATCTCACCCATTCATGCAACTAACTTTCACTAATCTCACTCATTCAAGCAACTAACTTTCACTAATCTCACCCATTCATGCAACTAACTTTCACTAATCTCACTCATTCATGCAACTAACTTTCACTAATCTCACCCATTCATGCAACTAACTTTCACTAATCTCACCCATTCATGCAACTAACTTTCACTAATCTCACCCATTCATGCAACTAACTTTCACTTTATCTGTCAAACGGAGTCTTTCCACCTCGTATCTTCCCCTCTGGTAGCAAGGGTTTACTGTAGAGGTCTGTGATCTCCCCTCGTTCGAACCCTTTCTCTCTCTCTCATCGACTATGCATAAGCTGAAGACACAGCCATGTGTCTGCGTCCTGCTATGTCTCATGTGTCCTACAGTACGTCGTTCAGGATAAGCAGGATTTTATTTGTTTTGTAAGCTATGCATGTCCGTGTGTGTGTGTGTGTGTGTGTGTGTGTGTGTGTGTGTGTGTGTGTGTGTGTGTGTGTGTGTGTGTGTGTGTGTCTGTGTGTGTGTTTCCGTGTGTGTATTTTTATAGCGCGCTTGTATTTTGTTTGTACGGGTTGTGTTTGTGTGGGCTTACGAGGTGCTTGTGTGTGTATGTGTGTGTGTGTGTTTTCGTATTGTGTGTGTGCGCGCGCATGCGCCAGTTCCTTACATGGTAGGCCTCTCGGCTCCTCCTCTGAGAAGTGGTAGAAGAGATGTTTGGCAATCTGGATGGCCGTCAGTGGCGTCTCCTTCACCTCCCCTGAGGAAGATATCCACCTTGCTTAAGCCCTTGTTTACGTAGTGCAGTTACGGAAACAAGTAAACAGATAAAGTATATAAAAACAAAGGGAAAACAATCATTATTATTTTATTTTTGCTTACAAAAACACATTTAAGAACGTTTGATTATTACCAGAAAGATCATTTTTGTTTCAATCATTTACGAGACAAAACCTTATTCGTTCAGGATTTTATATATATATATATATATATATATATATATATATATATATATATATATATATATATATATATATATATATATATATATATATATATATATATATATTTCTGCCTCAAACTGTTATCCAAATATCTCATTCAAGACCTATACTCTCGTAATGCCTTGTCGCTCTCTGATAATTACCAGAGCTTGAAATACTAAAAAAAACCTGTTCACGACCTATCGTGAGACCAAAATTTGAATATGCAGCGGCTGCATGGTGCCCATGCCTTCAGAAGCACATGAATAAACTGGAAAAGGTGTAAAGGCAGGCTACAAAAATGGCGTTAGAGGAGTTAAATGCGCCAAAGCCAGAAGATAAAAGAAAAGGAGGTGATATGATCACTGAATACAAAATAGTAACATGAATTTACATAATTGACAAAGAGGATTTTTTGAACCAACAACTTCAAAAACAAGAGGTCATAGATTCAAGCTGAGGAAGGAAAGGCGGCGAAAGCAAATACTAGAAATGTTTATTTTGCAATGAGAGTGATAGACGGTTGGAACAAGCTAAGTGAGAAGGTGGTGGAGGCTAAAACTTTCAGTAGTTTCAAGGCGTCATACGACAAAGAGTACTGGGAAGACGGGACACCACGAGCGTATAGCTATCATCCTATAACTACACTTAGCTAATCACACACACACACACACACGAACGATGCTAGTTATCTTAACATGGACTTTGCTTATCAGCTGCTCTATGAACTATGCTCCGAATTGATGATAAGACCCGAGTCAGCGACGGGTGAGGTTACATCAATGGTTAAGGCTAGATTAGTTTCAAAAGGATAATTAAGGGATACAGCTGGATGCTGTCAGCACGCATGTATACGCCGTGTCAAACCGGTAAAACGCATATGTATACTTGCATACCAAGATATACAACGTTACAGGTGCTGAGAGGTGAAACTTTAACACCGAAAGCACACACTTAGGTGAGTACACACACACACACACACACACACACACACACACACACACACACACACACACACACACACAAACACCACAGGTGCGCACGTACGCCCCCCTTGCACATCACTCAGCACTCCCTGAACCTCACTACACCCACCTGCAAACTCCTCCTTCTTCTCCTCCTTGACGGCGCTGAGGCCTCCGGACGCCCAATCGTAACTCAGCAACACAAACAGCAAGGCACGTGAGTGGCTGAGAGGAAACATAATGGCGAAATGCTATGGCTGGAGATACAGTGATGTCGGGTGATTCTGGATGCTTGCACAGTGATGTCGGATGAAGCTGGATGCTTGCACAGTGATGTCGGATGATGCTGGATGCTTGCACTAACATCCGTTCCTTCACAGCCAGAGAGAAACACTGACTTAATCCATTATCAACCACCTGGTAGCCAGGGAAGGGACCACATGCCTATTTATAATCAAAACAACACAACGACTCCCCCCACTAACTTCCTCGTCGTTCTGGACACGACTGTAGCGTCCTGGGGTACGGTGTACGGTACCCGCGTACCGTGCCGAGGGAAGAAACGGTACTCCAAGTGGTATTTAATAGTGCAGTAACATACGAACAGACGACTCAAGCCGAAGACAGGGAAAAGCAGGTACGTCCTTACAAGCAGAGAATGAAGAGAGTGATAAGAGATAAGAAACCTTGATAACAAGTATTTTATATATATATATATATATATATATATATATATATATATATATATATATATATATATATATATATATATATATATATATATATATATATAAGCTTAGACGGGACTAAATGTCTTATTCGTAATTTTATCTTAATAAATATGTCTGAATGTCCACTATGTTATAAGACATGGGAAGTAGACCTTACGCAACGGAGCATCTTGCAGCCTCCAAGAACTTCATTTCTGTGTTCTTGTTCTGTTGTTGTTTTAGATTCAGCTACTGGGAACAAAAAGTTACAAGTAGCACGGGCTATGGTGATCCCGTAGTGGACTTAGCTGGCACAGGAGCGGGGCTGTAACGTGTGTTCTTGCGCGTTTTTGTCTGCCTATTCTTGTGTATGCGGTTCCTATTCGAGTCGTTTTTTTCCCTCCTAGTGTGAATTCTCCTCCTCTTGTGCCATTCCTCCTTCTCATTTCGTGTGGCATTTCGTCTCTGTGATTGCTATTGCTGCTTTTTGTGTGGCATTCTTGCTCCTCTTCGTCCCCCTCTCTTCTGCTATTCCCTTCTCTGTTTTCGCAGCTTCTACAGCGCCACAGGTGACAGTATCTTGAGGTTATCTTGAGATGATTTCGGGGCTTTTTAGTGTCCCCGCGGCTCGGTCCTCGACCTGGCCTCCACCCCCAGGAAGCAGCCCGTGACAGCTGACTAACACCCAGGTACCTATTTTACTGCTAGGTAACAGGGGCATAGGGTGAAAGAAACTCTGCCCAATGTTTCTCGCCGGCGCCTGGGATCGAACCCAGGACCACAGGATCACAAGTCCAGCGTGCTGTCCGCTCGGCCGACCGGCTCCGGAAGCCAGTACAACAGTTGCCACAACAACACACTCACCTCAACACCACACTTACCACAACACCACACTTTCTACAACACTTCATGACAACACCTTATCAATCTATAATAAGCCTGCTTAGTGTTGTTCCTAACCCTCTCAGCCCCTTCATACCCTGAAGGCTATAACTGCATTGTCGACTAGTTGCCAGGAGGGCGTTCTCTCGCCCCAATGCATAACGTGCCTAAAGGTCGATAATCCCCGAGCAACGGCAAGATTGAATCCGTCCATTTTGCATATGTTGTCAGACACGCGGCTTTGGCTTCTGGAATGGCCAAAGCGCATGGGGGTGTGTCTGGAGGAAATTGAGTCATAGAGCCAGGGGAATATAAGGGTGGGTTTCGCATGGCGGTGTATGCTGGGGTTAAGTTAGGTGTGGTGGGTGGTTTAGGGATGGTGCTAGATGATGTCAATAACTGGTGGGATTTGCAGGGTGATAATTGGGTGGTGAGGGCAGGTCACTGCTACCTGAGGAGGGGAAATCTGAGGGTAGTGTTGCGTTGTGTTGAGATTATTA